TAAAAAAAGACATAATATAAATTAATAGGATTTTTGTTTCCTTTTTTAAAAGATATCAAATATAAAATAATGCAATCCTATTAGATGGTGAACCTAGAGGTTTACCCTAGGGGGTGAACCCAAGAATAAGTACTCTTTTAGTATATAAGAGATGACAATTACCTTTATTTGCTGATATATATTTTTGGTAAATTTTATAAAACATGACAATAACTGATACATTACATTTAATATTGATTTATATTTTTAGTAAACTTCTTAAAATATGGTAATAACGCATAAATCAAATAATCACTAAAGATAAATATATTGAAATATGCATTATAAATTTTGAAATGTTAATTAATTCTACTTTTATAATTATAAATTTTTTAAATATTCTCAAAAAATTTTACATCTTTTTAAAAATTAATAAATTTTTAATCGTAATATCATTAGTTTTTTAGATATCGACAAATTTTATAAATATTGTTTAATTATAATTTTTAATAAAAGAAATTCTAAGACTCGAATTTTAAATATATTACATATATTATTAAATATAATCTAAAATAAGCAAAATTTATTTTTTTCTTTATTTTGTGTGTTTAATTAAATCAAATTTGTATTAAATATTAGTCAAAACAATAAAATATATAATATTAATAAATTTTATTTTAAATAGTATTTAAATTTAAAAAGTTTATCACTGCACATGGTGCAGGAAAACACCAAGTCATCATCAAATTCAAAGAAAAAAAAAACAAAATCAGTGTGGTGAACGTCAACGTCGTTTATCCTCGATCAAAGCTCAAATTTTCCTTCTATAGCCGACACAACTCAACCCCCCCCCCTTTCAAGACCCGGTCGCTATCTCTGCCTACTACCAAACTCAATCCTCTGAAAAGCAGCCCAATTTATTCATGTCGTATCTAGGGCATGAGAAGCCGTTTAATGTAGCTGATGAGTTCAACGGCTGAAGAAAACAATCAGACCTTGCAGAAGCCGTCGCAGCTATCCGTACTATGGCAGCTGTTATTCGTGGGAATGAGGCTACCACAAGGATGCAGCTTAAAATTCAGCTTAAAAGGCTTTTGATACACTAACTATGAACTTCATCTATTCATTCTTTGGTGGTGAAAAAAGATAACTTGTGTGTTCTGTTTCGGTTTTGTTGTCAGTCATGGGATAAAACTAACTTTGTAACTTAAAGACTTCATTGGAGAGACTTCATCAAGAGTGTGAAGAAAAAGAAGGATAACATATATATATATATATATAAATTTGACATCAACATACTACAGACTCATATAGACCCTGTAAACTAAGTTGGTAGAAGAAAAACATATTAAAAAGATGATAATTTAAGAAACATGAGAAATTATATACGCAAATTAGATTTTTTTGTTTGGTTTAATTGATCTTGAATGGTTTGGTTAAGAGTAAATCGATCAAAACCATCTGTTTATGTGTAATTAAATTTTAAACTAATAATTAATTCGTAGATAAATAAGTTTGTAATTTAGCTGTTAGCTTATGTTGTTTTTAGATCTGACGATGTTATACTTATGTTATTATGTTATTATAGTGTTGATTTCTTGATTGCGTTTTTTTTTTAGTTTGATTTGGTAAACTTATATATTGTTGGAAAAATTACTACATCCTCGTAAAATGTCTTCAAAACTAAACCATTTCGTAAATTTAACAGTTTAGGGAAAAGTTTCAGAACTTTTGAACTTAAGTTAATACCTAGACTCAAACTACAAGGACATATAGTCTTTGCACGCTCAATCTATTTTGTCCATATGTACTTCTTTATAAATAAAGTAGAATTTATTCTCATTTTGAGACATTTTTTTGCCATGTGTCATTCTATTATTCACTGATATTTTCGAATTGGACATTGTTTTTTGATTTGGACTTTCGTTTTCTGTTTACATTGATTTTCTTATGCTTTGCTTCAGGCCCAGCAGATGATATACAAGTGCTTAGAGACGTTTTCTTTACACAATTTTGTGACTTGCATTCCAAGATACATGTTTGAAACTGTTCACAATAAGGAGTTTTTTTATTACTTGATGACAAAAGTTTCTCATGTTTCTTTTAACAATTTTATTTTATAGATCACGACTAGGATACCAAGTCATTTCAAAGATAAACTAGATATCATCAAACTTTTTAAAAACATCTTTATATCTAAAGTACAGTTCATTCCCTTCTCAGGCCGCTAGGTCATCAATTCGGGTAAGGAGAAAGCGACATCTGTCCCTCCTTTCAAACGATGTGTTTCATTAACGTGATATAACATGAGTTTCTTTTACAGATTCGTTACAGAGTTTAACCCAATGAAAATGCCCATATCTTCTTCGCGAACTGAACGCTGATTCTAGAGCTTGGTCTCATCTTCCGTCTCCGACACCAAAGTCTCTTCTTCTCCGTTCTCAGACGCAATCAATGGAGTTTCGAGGTATTTGTTGACTCAAATCGACATGAAAAATCTCTTTATTGATCTTTAATCACGTCGTTCTATTTTCTCTTCTCATCAATTGAAACCTCTGACGTACAGATCCATTACCTTTATTGTCTTCTTAACTCCAAAGACCAACTTGAGGCACGATCTGACATAGAATGCGAGCTCATCCTATACCTATATAAAGGTTACATCCTTCCCTTGAACATCATCTTCTCATGCCAGTTTTTTTTCAACGACTGTCTTTTCCGGAATAAGCTAGGAGAAGATGATAAATCATCTCTTTCCAAAGGTTTCAACACTGGTCTTTGATTTAAGCATGGAAGAACAAAGACTTATTATCTTCCTTAGATTTTCCCTTTCTTCTACTCTCATTGAATTCCGTACTTCCATCTTTGTTAAGCAAATTCATGATTTTCCGTAACTCATTGTTCGCCCGTTATATGCAGGGATCAATCTGGACTAATGGGTTTATTGGTAAGATGTCTTACCCTCCCTTTTCTTTTCAGCGTAAAGAAAAAAGCTGAATGGGTTGATTAAAGATAAACCTGTATATGTGTGTAGAATTTTGATTTGATGGTTGCTGTATGGGAGGTGATCGGAGATATCAGCTTTCTCAGAGAAAAACAACATATTTTGTTGTAAAGGAACAATCAGAGAAAGTTAATATAAGGCTTTGAAGGAACTGATTACAGAGTTCAGGAAGACTAAATATTCTCACTCGCGGTCTGGTTTAAGAATCGAGTTCCAAAGCATTCGTTCAACTTTTTTGTAGCCAGTTTCAATAGACTGCCTATTAGAACAAGATTGGCGCACAATGGGGTCTGAATATTCCAACAACCTGCATTCTCTGTTCTCTGCATGACGAAACCAGAGACCATTTAATTATAAATTGTGCTTATGCTGTTGAGGATTGGTCATTCTTTCTCCTAAGGCTTGGAGTAAATTATCGGGTGTTCAATTCATGGCGGTCTATGATGGTATGGATTCTAAACGTTTGAAGAAAAGGATCTGCAAAGCCTCTTCAAAAGCTGGCCATTCAAGCTACACTTCACTTTCTGTGGAACGAGAGAAATAACAGAGTTTAGAATGCCCCTGCGCTGACTGCAACTACCCTGTTTTCTCAGATTGACAGGCATCTCCGAGGCATCTCTCTCTAGCCAGAAGATATCAGAAATATTGTTCTAAGCTGCTCTTATTATGGTTAACATATAGTTAAGAATCTTATACCTCCTCTTTGTAACTAATAACACAGAAAGATGGTTGCGAAGCTTTACAAAGTGTCCCTCAGATTCAGAAGATCATTTTTCTTTTTTACTTTTCTTAAGCCGTGCCAATCTTAGCAAATTTTAAACCTTTTTATTTGCAGTCATTAAAAGAGCTTTTATTGTGAACACGAAATTTAAGGTCAGTGTACGCAAATAAATGTGAAAAATTATTCAATATTATATACTAAAAAATTTCGCCAGTAATTTTAATATTAATATGCAAATAAAAATATGTCTTTGCATAGTTCAACGAAGACACAAAATAAAATAGTCTGATAACGAATAAAGAAAGCAGAAGTGAGTTTAAATAATTTATATTAAAAAAAGTTAATATATCTCTACCAACATAATAGAAATAGAACACAACCCCATTAGTAATTACAACAATATTATAGAGCTAATTCAACTATTGTAAAACTAACGTTGAGTCATTTATAACAAACAAGTTTAAAGAGAAAGTTTTATTTTAAGTAAAAAACAATTTCAAAATAATGATCTATGCATAAAATGAAATAAAATAAAATAAAATTATTTAAATTAAAACAAATATTAAACATTGGCTACACCATAGTTAAAATACAATATGTTCAAGCTTCTTGGAGCGGAACAAATTTCTTGCTTTTTTAGATATGTTATCAATTCAAAATCTCAACATCTTAACTTTATAACCAAATAAAATCTAATTTTGAATAGTTACAAAGATTTAATATGCTCCAGAAATGACCGAGTAAACAGTAGAAAGAGATAGTTACAAAGGTTCAAATTATCTTCCAATACCATTAGCAAATCAGCCAGAATTTCTACACTATCCATCATTTTAATTCATATACTTATGTATTGGGAATAAGTAGTAGGGGGGAAAGCTGAAAGGCAACCTAAGAAGCACTTGATAGCCCATAACGATCTTCAAAACAAAGCTGCTCCTTAAGACAAGTAAACCAAATGTTTTTTTTCTGACACTTACTTGCCTGCGTTGATATATAATTATTTGAACCTACACCCAAATATTAGGGGAAAATTTCATAACTACCACTTTCACACTACCACTTTTCAAATAGCATAATTTAATTATACTTTTCAAATATACCACTTTCATTTAATGAGAAATTACAAAACTAACCCTAGCTAATTTTTTTTTCTATCGTGGTTCTCGTTTTGAAAGAGGAGAGCGGAGGTGGAGGAGGTGCGGTGGAAGAGGATCTGGTCTGATCGGAGAGTTCGTCGGCGGTGGGGATGAGGGATTAGGGGGAGGAGGAGGGAGCCTGGATTAGGGGGCAGTGGGGATGACTCAGAGTCCTTTGATCCCGTCGAGGTCTCTGGAGAGATCTGTCTCTAAGGAGGAGGAGGAGAGGCTTCAAAGAAGGAGAAGAAGAGGAGTACGGTGAAGATAATGACGATTACAATAGCATTTTGAAACATGCGTTTGCAGTGGAAGGATAACCTGATTTTGAATCTGGACCACCAGAAGATGGCTTTGAATTTGAACCTGATTTTGAAACCTGATTTTGACTGCGTTTGCAGTCAGGTATGTTTTTGTCTCTCTGTCTTTCCATCTTTCAGTGTATCTGCATTTATTAGCATATATGGTAAAGTTATTTCCACATTCTAGGTGGGAGGCTAAGCGTGTTCCGAATGTAAAAGTAGCCAAGATAGATGAACGCAAGTACTTAACGAGAGAGCAAAGTGTCTACATGCCACAGATTCCTGAAATCCCCAAATGCCCAGAACACTTGTTACCACTCAAGGAATGGGAAGACTCATTGCTTTCTGACTTCTCAGACCTTCGCTTGGTAATTACTTCCTCTAACTAACTTTCTTACTGTAAGTGTTACTCCTAATGAACTATAAATGAATGCAAAGTGTTGTCGGTTTTATACAGGCTTTATCGCTAGATGCCAATGAGTGATGCGGAGATGAGACCATGCCATCAAGTCAGTCTACAGAATATATGCTAATGGGAATCTTCAGTACACGTCTCAACACAGTTACAGATGAGTCATTTGGTGTGGTGGTTTCAGAAATACAAGGAATGGACTCGGTGACACGGGTATCAAGGTTGAAAAAGCGTATATGTTTGGTTGAGAAGGAGAGCGGTTTACAGAGTAGTGACTGCATATGGGTAGTAGCATTGTGTGCATCAGTGGACACTCTGGACAGGGTCTAGAGGAGTTCATGAATGAAATAATACTCATCTCTAAACTCCAACATAGAAACTTGGTTCAGCTTATGGGATGTTGCATTGAAGGAGAAGAGAAGCTTTTGATTTATGAGTTTATGGTGAACAAAAGTCTCAACACCTTTATCTTTGGTATGTCCCTTTGCAATCTTTCCTATTCTTTTCATTATATATATTATTTTCTTCATGTGTGTTTGATGGTGACACTTGTGCTTGTCTCAGGGCTATTCTCAGAAAGTGTGCGAGTCTTTGTGCTTTAGAGGTTGAAGATGAACAAGTTATCATCATGGCTAATATGCTCATCATAATTGCAGGCAGATATTTTGGCCAAATGGAATAAGAGAAGAAGTTAGATGATAACACTTACAGTAATATGTTTAGTGGATCAGAATCTTGGTCATGTTACCTGACTGCTTAAACAATCCATAAGCAGATTCAGTAGAGTAGGCTAATGTGTTCTCACAAAAGCAAATCCAAGGGGGTTTCTTTAATCACCCTAAAAGCAAATGATATATATGTTTCAGTGCTTCCATTATTGTTTTTCTGCATGCTAGTTTTTCAGCATACATGATTTTATTACTCTGATAATAGTTCATAAAACATTTATAGATCTTTATAAAGATTTATGAGAACATGAGCTTAGGTTTCTTATACGATTTTATAAGGATTTATACAATTTATAAATATAAATCATTTATACAGATTTATAAAGGTTTACAAACCATTTATAAATGTTTTATAAATCCTTTATTAGAGTTAGTTAGTCTTTTTAAAAGGTTATAAACAATTTTAGAACTCTATAAACCATTTTTAGAAATTAATAAACTCTATCTTATAAATTATTTATAAGGGCTAACTAGATCGTTTATAAATTATTTATAAGACTTTTTATATCATTCTCTATATTTCTATTTTATAATTCATTTACTGAGTCTATAACCATTTAGAAAGGTTTATAAAAAAATTTATAATGGTTTGTAAAATAATTTGTAAGGGTTTATAAGGGTATGTATAAAAAAAATTATAAAGTTTATACACATTATAAAGGATTATAAAACAATTTATAAGGGTATGTAAAATTATTTGTAAGAGTCTATAAACCATTTATAAATGTTCATAAAACAAATTATAAAATCTATAAACCATTTATAAATGTTTATAAGAAAGTTATGAAAGTTTATAAATAAATTTTAAGGGGTATGTATACTATTAATAAGGGTTCATATAGGTGTAGAACAAATTATAATATTATTTATAAGAATATATAATCATTTATAAGCAGTCAGCGGATGACACTGAAGAGGTCGTAAAAGAAAGACTTCTTATATCATTCTTTCTATTTCTATCTTATAATTCATTTATTGACTCTATAACCATTTCGAAAGACTTATAAAATAATTTATAATGGTTTGTAAAATAATTTCTAAGGGTTTATAAGGGTATGTAAATAATTTATAAGGGTTTATATAAGAGTTTTATAAGGGTTTATAAAAATATTTATATGGATTTACAAAATTATTTAAAAAAATCAAATGCATCATGAATATATGTGTAATTTACAAATCATTTATAAATGTTTATAAATAGTTTATAAATGATTTACAAAGATTTACAAAGCTCCCCTGGAACAGAAAAAACAAAGTAACAGCTTATACTCAATCTTCAGGGCCTAACGCTATTTCTCAGTTCGCTCTTTCAAACCTATGCAAGAGAACTCTACTATCAATATCAGGTGCAGTCACTAGCTTATGAACTCAAAATTTTGTATGGATTAAAAATCATATTAAAACATTACTCATAAGTCTTAGGAAAACGAGAGTATAAACGGTTCTCCCAAAATAAGAACAGAAGATAAAACTTGGTCGATCACCTGCTTCAAAACCTATATTCACAACTTTCGGGTGGTGTAAAATCATAGCTAGAGTTACGACTAAATCATTACTAGCACTTGATAGTGTCATATACTGTCATTATAGGGAATCAACCAGCTGTAAGTTCACGACATTTCTTCTCTAGTCTCAGGACAGCCCAGGAAACACCAAAAAGATTAATCTGCATGAAGCAATCATAGGAAACAAAATATAAAACTAAGCTCACTTTTGAGTCTCATGCCACAGAAGAAACAGAGCAGACAATCTAACCACCTGACTCACCAGAGACCTTATCCCTCCAGAAACCCAACAAAAAACTCTTCAAGTTTTCATCTTTCATCTAAGACCTAATACTTATCAACAAATCAGCATAAGTCCAAGACTACTGATGCATGAAAAGTCCATTCCCCTAAAGTTTTCTCAAACCAAACAATGGTGAGAAAGTTTCAAACTTTAGCAACTCGGTTTACAAAATCCAAACCAAAGTAACCTAACCAATTACAAATTTTACATTCCCACTGTGCCACGAGCTCGAAAAACTAGGGTTTCCTATTTTGAACAATCAGTAAATTGAGCTAACAAGAAGAAGAAGAAAGTAAAGACCTTGAGGTCGATGTTAGAGCGATCACAGAGCACAACAGCGAACTCAGGATCACGGAGGATATTCTTCCACTTCCCAGGACCATGCTTCGTGACACCTGCGAGCAACGCGTCCTCCTCCTCCACCGTTCACTTATTCTTCTCTTTTCCCATCTCTCCTTTTCTCTTCTTCCCTCTTCCCTCCGCCCCCAGCTTGTGCTTCTGTCTCTTACAATCTCCTCCAACTTAAGACGAATCTTCCCAAGTCCAGCAACATCTGTAAACTTCACATCCACACCCCTCTCAAGATACTCAGGCAGCCTCTTATTCGACGCTCTTCTCACACGTGCTCCTGACTTCATGAACTGCTTAGCCATCTGTAAATAAGGATTCTTCTCACCACTACTTCCTCCCTCACCCTCCTCCTCACCATCATCATCTCCCACCTCAACTTCCTCCATCTCCCTCTCCAACTCGGCTAACCAATACAACCCGGAATAGTGAGCTCTTTAACAAGGAGTTTTGTGAAAATTACAGGTGAACTTCCATGTGTTTCAGCTAGATACAGAGTACCACTGCCGGAGAGATCGTCTCGTGCTTCGCCGGAGAACTCATCAGCATCGTCAAATTAAGGCGGAGAACTCGTCATCATCTTCAAAGCTCGCCGGAAAGCTCGTCACAATCGTCGAATCTCGTCAGATTTCATTATTGGATGTCGTTCAATTTGGTGGATCTGAATCGTAGGGGAAGAAGACAACTTTTATTACTTACGGATATAATTGTATTTTACCTATTAAAATCTCTATAATATTATTTGAGAAGTTAGTTTCCTATGTGTCGCTCTCACGTTCATTCTCACGATGGTTGATTACATTGATACTCTTAATGAATTAAAAATAGTTGAAAATAGTATTATTAATTCTTTTATTTTTAGTTTTTCCTTTTCAAAAATTTCCAAAAAGATATGTAATAAAAAGGCATTTTTTATAAAGTCATAAATACAAATTTAAAACGAAAATATATGTATATATAATATGATTTCATAAAAAAGGAAAGTTGACAAAATAGTAATAATACATTTAAAAATATTTTTAAATAACATAAAAATATGTATATATAATATAATTTCATAAAAAAAAGGAAAGTTCACAAAATAGTAATAATACATTTAAAAATATTTTTAAATAACATAAAATATACTTTTAGAGTAATAAAATAGTTTATAATTAGTATTATTGAATTTTTATTTATTTTTCATCTATTTAGTTGACTATAATATCTTTCAAGTACAGAAAATTATCTAGAACTTATATTTTTCTTATATAATATTATTTTCAAATACAATCACAATTTTGTGTAGTGCTTATTTTTAAGAGATATTAAAAACTAAAAATAAATTTAACAATAAACATCGTTTGGTCAAAATAATTGTTCTAATGAGCTAGATATATGATATTTTATCATTATTAAAATTATTTATTTTATTAATATTAATTTTTTTAAATTTTATGTTTTATATTTGTGAAACTAAATATAACCATAATCAAAATATCAAAGCAAATCTGGATTCTCAATTTAAGATTACTTAAAATAAATTTCAGTTTACATTCAATAAATCTAAAGCATAAAGTTATTTAGAATTTATAAATGCTTGTAACCTTATATTGATCATATGGTAACTCAAAACATATTAACAAATAAAAATAAATACTAACCAACTCTTACAATTTTAGTTCTTTTGTAAAATTTATATATATCCATGAGACTTTAGAATATTTTCGTTATATTAATTTACGTATTTTGGAATCAGACACTTTAGTTAATTTTTAATTCATTCTAAACACAATATATCTTAAGTTATACATAATTTTCCTAAAATATATTTACATATCTAAGACAACACCCACCATATGCAAATAAGTAACTAATTAAAAATTAATATATTCTAAAAATATTACAGTTGAATTCAGAGAGGCAATCCAATTTATCCAAATGATAACTAAACCAACCGTAAAACAAAAATTGACTAGATATAACATATATAAAATTACAGTATAAGTAAAGTAATATAATACTATTAATATAAATGATGCATACAAATTATAAATAATTTAAAATTTAAAGTAAATAATAATCAATTATTATTATATATTTAATTTTAAAATATTTATACCCGTGCATGAGCACGGGAAAATCACCTAGTTTAAGTGGTAAAATTGGTTAATGCATAAATGAAAAATGGTATTAGGAAAGTGGTATTTATTACAATTTCCCAAATATTAGTCAAAGTGTTTCATATAAACTATAGTTTTTTTTTTTTTCTTTTGACACTTCATCAAGAAGTTTTTTAGAAACTTAACACTTATGTCATAATTTATTAAGTATGATTAAATGGTTTTAAAATTTCATCTTCATATTATTTAAACCAAATCAATTAACAAAATATTTAATAACTCCTAAATCATTTTAATTAATACTTTATCTATAATAATAAAGTTGAGTTATCTGCCCTCTTAGGCTATCCACCTCATTTTTTACATGGGGGCTTCTCCGCCACGTGTCAATTCACTAAACCATTCCGAATTGATTTTGGTTTACCTCATGATTCTATCGTAGTGGACTATTTATATAATTTTGAGCTATATTATAACTTATGATGGGCCTTTTGAAAACTCTATGAAAAGTCCATCATATTTTTAGGTTTCTTCCAATGTTTTGAAACCCGACCCAAACACTAAACCGGACGACTTACCGGGTCACCGGATCACCGCATCAACCGCGGTTCACTAATTAATTAATTCTATTATGTAATAATATTTATTATTTTCATTTGGCATATTAAACATTAAAAATAGTTTAGGCTAGAATTTGTTTTGTAACTTGAAAAAACTTATTACATCTAACAAATAATATCAAGAATAATAAACTTAAACATCTTAGAACTTAAAACTTATAACATGTAAAAAGGTAGATTAATGATAAAGAAAAATAATCAAAAACCAAAAACACAAAAAAAAATACAAAGTAGACAGAGGAAAGAAAAAGAAAGACGTCGAAAAATAAAACTGAAAACCTAACTCCTTAATATAATACAAAACAGATTTTAAAAATATAATTATAAATTTATAAGGTTTAAAAAAAGTAAAAATCATTTATCGGTTCAACCGGTGGTTCAACCGATATCGGGTTTTGGGTTTTACGGGTTTTAGCCGATTTTTAAATTTTGGCAGTGTTTTGAAACCGACCGTATCCCGGTTGAACCGGTAAATCCGGTGACCCGGAAAAAATAGTCTAAGAGGACAGATAACCAGTAGCCTATTTTAAGTTTTCGTCTCCAAAATAATTTTTAACCTAAAAATCAATAATATTTATTAATTGAGAGTAAAATTTATAATATATTTACTTTTGTGGTAAACAAATTAGAAAAAGTAATAAACAACAACCACAAAAAAAAAACTTGCGACAGCCATACATTTGAGCATGCTTTGTTATTTGAATCCAATATGCAGAATAGAATCAGAGTTACAAAGAATAAATTATAGAAAGCTTTCCTTTAGTGCTTACGGATAAAGATGAGCTTAACTACCTTAGTTATTGATAAGAAATTCTGGTTAGTCTCTAAAATAAAATTTCAAATGTTGTTCCTTCTATATATTGTCCACACGGTACTCAACAGTATATATATGTTCTTTAAATAAAACAATTACTATATGTTTAAATTCCTTTGATATGACTATCAGTTTTTTATTCTACTCATACTGAATCGATTAATCAAAATCAATTATGTTATTCTACTTCGTACTAAGCAACTAAAAAAACAAATAATACACATGACGGTCGCTAAATGAATCTAAAAATATCATGTTTTTGAACATATGTTCTTTACTAAGACTATAATATGAATTGTAAATTTGTGTAAAAATAAAACATAAAAAATCGGCGCGTAGCGCCGGAATACCACTAGTTTTTAATAAAACCAAATTATGACATTAATCTTTTTGTTTATTAAAAAATAATCCATTAGTGAAAATATTTAATATATAGGGCCTAAAATAAATAATTTCAATAGTAAATATATAAAAATCATTAGAACAAAAAAAAAGTTATTTCACGCTTTAATCTTTCTACATTTCCTTATTTATACCAATGAAAAAATGAATGTCACAAGCTTTTTTCTCGTACGACTACAAATTTAGTTCAACCTAAAAAAAATAATATAAAAATTTTGTCCAAAATATATTATATTATTATATAATTTAGTCAATTATAATGACTTTAATTCTAAATATCTTAACATATATATAAAAAAGAGTGCACGTAAATAAAGATTTACAAAATATAACCAAAATTTTAATTTAAAACAAATATGAGTCAAAATATTTAACTAAAACCCTGCATGAATCCCAAAATGTATTATCTAACACCACATATTTATAGCCCGAAACTATTTACACAAAATTTATTAAAAAAATTCAATTCAATCTTTCCGAACCCAAAATATTACAAACCGCAAAAAACGTACATGATATGGGATAAGTTTTATTTAAAAGGAAACAACACGAAAACTATATCAATGCAGCAAGTTTTTAATATGGAAACATCTATTGTAAAAAAATAAAATATATCTTATCATATATAATTCCTTATTTTTGATACATATCTCTTGCAATTACAAACTTAAGATACAAACAACAAAATCATAACAAAAATAACATTCTATATCATAAATAAAGTATATCCCGCCCGTAGGGCGAGCCGATCCTAGTAATCAAATAAACCAGAACAATTATATAATCAACGTACGGATCTCAAGCTAAAACTAAACCGTCAAAGTTTCATCATTAATATTTAAAAGGAAAAAAGTTTCTCACCTACACGAAGTTTACACTAATATGGTGGAAACCATTCAATGTATAAAAATGTGTCAAGAACTACACGAAGTATATGTTAATACATGCCACATGTACGAAGTAAATGATATTATGGTGACAACATCACAATCAGATTTAATTGTTCTTAAGCTAAGTTGATGGGGTCAATCCGTAATTTATGAAACTTAATAAACTTAATTGATTTTAATTATTAAAGTTAATAAAATTAATAAACTTAATAAACATAATATTTTTTAAAACTTAATAAAATTAATAAACTTAATAAACTTCATATTTTTTGTTAAACTTAATAAATTTATTAAACTTAATAAATTTATTAAACTTAATAAATTTATTAAACTTAATAAAACTATTAAACTTCATAAACATAATAAACTTAACAAACTTAATAACTTATAAACTTAATAAGTTATTAAACTTAATATACTTAGCAAAGTTAATAAACATAATAATTTAATAAATTTATTAAATTATTAAACTTATTAAACTTAATAAATTTATTAAATTATTTTGTTTATTAGTTTTAGGATTCTACCTTATTAAACATAAATAATTTTTAAAAACTTAAT